GATTTAGAACCATTGGTAATTTAACTTATATCATTCCCTTAACTAGTGAAGCCCAAAATACTAATAATACATTAATTGATTTAAACGTCAACCCGTCGACCATCTAGTTGATTTAGTAAAATTAAGTACAACTAACTCTAAGGATAAGGTAATAAAATCCTGTACAAATCTAACAAAGAATGAGATCGCCAAAGATAAGAATTTGGATTTCAAATATTGTAATAGAAATTGTCTTGATTTATTTTATAACCGTTGTAATGACTACCCTGATAAGGATTCTGATAGCACTAAACTAGGTATAGGGAATTCTTTTGGTGTACTGCATTTAAACATTCAAGGGTTGGCTAACAAAATGCTAGACTTTGAAATTTTTTTGTCTCAGTACACAAATTTGGATGTTTTGTGTGTAAATGAACACTGGCTGGCTCATGATGATCAAATAATTACCTGTCAGATTGAAAATTATGTAGTTGGCAGTGATTTTAATCGCAAGTATTTTCAAAGAGGTGGGGTAATGATCCAAATTAAGCCTAGCCTCAGTTTTTCCAATTTACAGTTTGTCACTGATTTAAGTATAGAAAAAGATTTCGAATGTTGTGGTCTTCAACTGTTATCCAATTTTACGTGTGTAATATCAATTTATCGTGCACCGGCAGGCAATATGGGTGTCTTTTTGACGCAGCTTGAACAGTTACTGATAATGCTTTCTACGAAAAAGCGGGTTATCATTTGTGGTGATTTCAATATAAATTTACTACTGGATTCAAAAGATGTAAAGATGTTTGTATCATTACTTAGTTCCTTTAACTTCACAAATATGTTTGACTCTCCAACAAGGGTTACAAGTACATCAGAGACGTGTATTGATAATATTTACACTAACTTTGATACATTTTGTTCAACCAAAAACATTTACATCGATTTTTCAGACCATAATGCCTTAATACTCAACATGACAGGCGCCGTCTCTAAAATACACTACAATAAATACGTATATACAGAAAGGGAAGAAGTTTCAGTAAGATTAATTTAAATTTCTTTAGCAGTATATGCTAACGAATACGGATTGGTCACAAATGTACACAGCCAAAAATGGCAAATTTGATATATGTTATAGACAGTTTTTATGTTGTTTTAATTAAATCGTTTCCTATAAAAAAAACCTGCTCTCCAACGTACATAAGAAAGGATGGATTACTAACGGTATCAAAAAATCTAGTAAAACAAAACGGGAACTGAAGCAAATTGTTAATCATTTTCCCGATCCCACCTTAGTAAATTACTATAAGTTATATTGTAAGAAATTTAAAGACATAGTAAGGGCCGCACGAAGAAATTATATCGCCGCTATGAAATTAACAAATCTCCTAATGTTATAAAAACAGTATGGGAATTAATTAAAAATGATTTAAATAAAAAAACAGAAGCCAGGGAGAACTTAAACTTGGTTGTTGATGATATTAAACATTATGACCCTGCTGTTGTCGCAGATTGTTTCAATAGTTACTTTGCTGATGTAGGTGTCTCCATCCAAAAGAATATAACTCCTATTCCAGGAGGGAAATTATTAATGCCCTCGAATAGAGGTACATCTTTGTTTCTTAGTCCTATTACACACTCCGAAGTGGAATCAATTATAAAATCTCTAAGAAGCACATTATCTACTGGATATGATGATGTCCCACAAAATATTATTAAGGTCGTTGCTAAATTAATTTCGAAGCCACTCGCATGTGCCATTAACGATTGCTTTGAAGCTGGGGTTTTCCCAGATGTCTTAAAAATTGCTAGAATTCGTCCTCTATTTAAATCAAAAGATAAAACGAGGGTAGAAAATTATCGCCCAATTGCCATTCTGTTGATTTTTTCTAAAATAATCGAGAAAGCTTTAAAAAACCGTATTATTGAATATTTTAGACAAAATGATCTTTTTTGCAGCCAACAACACGGGTTCATACCCGGCAGATCTACTAGTACAGCTCTCAATAATTTAATGTTAAATATTTTAACTGGTTTAAAAGGGGAGAAGTGGACAGCTAGTGTTAATTGTGATCTATCTAAAGCATTTGATGTGATTAATCATACTATTCTATTGAATAAATTATTTCATTATGGTATTAGAGGAATAGCTTTACAGTTAATAAAATCATATCTAATTAACAGAGAGCAATTTGTACAAGTTTCACATACCGAATCCGACCGACCGACCGACGGCTTGTATCAAGTGGGGTGCCTCAAGGCTCCGTCTTGGGACCTTTACTTTTTGTCATTTTCCTTAATGATTTGCCATTTAATTTTTGATCACTTGAATCAGTTTGCGGGGTATCTATGTATGCCGACGACACTAGCTTTGTAGTCACTGGCACGTCACAGTCACAACTTTCAAATAATCTGATACAAGTATTATCTCAAGCACATCGTTGGTTCTCAAATAATCAATTGCAATTAAATGTCAATAAAACCAACATCATTGTATTCGCGAAAGATATTACGCAGTTTGATAATTTTAATTTTGGTAATGTTAAACTTAGTTTTGTTTGTAAAATTCTGGGCCTTGAATTTGATAATAAAATGAAATGGCGCCAGCATAGTTCATCATTAATTTTAAAACTGAATAAAGCGTTATTCTCTCTCCGTCATCTAAGACGCTTATGTCACTATGATACATTAAGGAGTGTATATTTTGCATACTTTGAATCTCATTTACGATTCGGTATACTATTTTGGGAAAACTCAAACCTTATGAGCAGTATCTTTAAGCTGCAGAAAAGAGCCATCCGCATATTGGTTGGAATAGGTCCACGGGAGTCATGCCGGTCTTATTTCAAAGAATTAAAAATTGCGACCTTATACAATTTATACATTATTGAATGTGCAGTGTTCGTCCACAACAACATTCACCTGTTTGTTTTTAATGCCAAGGTTCACAATTACAATACAAGACGTGGTAAGTTTATTAGAACCCCAGTTTCAAAATCTAGTATTTTTAACAATTTTATTCTTTCATTGTAACAGCTATAAAAATATACAATAGCCTACCAAATACCTTAAAGGCAAGTAACAATTCTGGTTTTAAAAAAAATTTGAATGCATACTTCAGGGAATTTGTTTTTTATTCTATATGTGAATTTTTTGATTCTTTTAAATAACTACCTATACATATTTTAAATTGTTTGTATGTGTACACCTGTATTGTAATATTTAAAAAAATAAAAAATTTGTGTGCACATCTGTATTGTAATAATTGTTGTTTATTGTGCAAGATTATTCAACGCCTTACGGTAAATATGAATAAAGTTTATCTATCTATCTAGTAGAATTTTAGAATGATCACAGTCTAATTCACATGTCCTTATAGTATGGATTAAGTCTTCACGCCCTATTTCTGTAGTAAAATCAAGCTAGAGTGGTTGAAAATAGGGTGACATCAATTTTGCTATTATTATTGTGAAGCAGTTTCCGCATTTTTTATTTAGGGAGCTTAGTGAAGAGCCATATAAAATATAAATAATTCGTTCCGGGATCCTCCATGCTAACAAGTGATTACAGCGCTTGGTGGTGGCTGTGAGTAATTTAGTCGAGGCTTCTCCATTAGCATGTGAAATGAGATCCTTTAAATGGTGAGGTCTTATCACGTCCAATTCCTGGATTCCTGCTGAAGATCCGGAGGGAAAGCTTAATATTGCATGGCGTACCTATACATCCTTGCTTTCAACAGATAATGGAGAATTATAGGGGAATAGCAGTTGTTTTAAGGGAGGCGGATGCGGATTATAAGTAATAATATCAACAGATGCAGTATTTTTTTTCTAAAAAAAAGTATTTAGACTTTTGCTCTAAAATAATTAGGGGAGCTAGTAATTGACGATAAAGAAATTACCATTGAAATCCCTTATGCTGTGTCGCGCTAGGCACCACCCTGTATAAGGATTCGTAATTTTTTTCTCCACAAAAAACCTAAATAGACTTTATCCGGAAGTAAACAATTACTACTTATTGAAATTCCTATGGTGCGTCCGTCAAATCACCACCCCGTATACACTATAATAAAACCAAATCTAACCCCAGGTTTAAAATTTGGTTTTCGCGTGCTATAGCTATACTCAGGCGTTCGTTTGCTATATTTGCTTACACATTTATTAAGTAGTATGACAGTATGACATTAAAATATTAAAATATTTCGAAATTTAAAAAAGCATGGCAAAAATTTAAAATGGCTCGTGTGCGCGAAGGTTGACATGTGTAATGTTTTGATTGCTGGTGACAGAACCGATCCAAAGATGGTGTTAAAGCACCGGGAATTTATTTTCGTTTTAATTTTGTCGTGTATAATTTGCCAGATGAATTATTAACTAATTGGTGCCTATATCCACTACCCAATAGTCTTTTCTAATGTCTACTCTGACGACAAATACTCCTGGTATTATACTTGTAGCTATATCTTAAAGTTAATTGCCATTTTTAGTATATATTCATGGTTCCAAATATTTAATTAGAAGTAGGTAATTAAAAATGATCGTAAGGAAATTACCATATTAAGTATTGCGCTGTTTGGTTATGTGATTCAATTACATTTTTTTGAATGTTATGCATTCTATCCAACATATTATAATTAAACCCTAATTGCCAATCGTGGGTTAGTCTTCCGAGCTGCTGATACATTCTTTGGCAGGACGAGTTTTTCTAGTTCGGGGCCAGTCATTAGTGAATGGTCAAGAAGGGTGCAAAATGGGCGAGTGCGCGTGGAAGTAGATACATAAGATGTTTTCCAAAGATTTAATTAGAAGTAGGTAATTAAAAATGATCGTAAGGAAATTACCATATTAAGTATTGCGCCGTTTGGTTATGTAATTCAATTACTTACATTTTTTTGAATGTTATGCATTCTATCCAACATATTATAATTAAACCCTAATTGCCAATCGTGGGTTAGTGTTCCGAGCTGCTGATACATTCTTTGGCAGGACGAGTTTTTCTAGTTCGGGGCCAGTCATTAGTGAATGGTCAAGAAGCGCGCAAAATGGGCGAGCATGTATTTTTCCTTGGTATCATTGATTATGTCGTGATATCTGTAATTTTACTCATATCAGCGGGAGTCGGAGTATATTATCACTTTACAGGAGGCAGGCAGAAAAGTGTTACGGTAAAACCATTGGTAAAATTTAGTTTGTTAATGAATGGTATTTTTAGGAGTATTTGTTGGCCAATCGTAACATGCATGTAGTACCAGTTGCATTTTCGTTAATGGCATCTTTACTATCTGCAGTTGCCATATTGGGTGCTGCCAGCGAGAGTTATACATACGGTATTCAACAGGCTGTATTCAATTTTGCTATATTTCTTTTTGCGCCCGTTCTATCGTATATATACATGCCTGTATTTTTCCGTTTACAAGTAACAAGTGTGTACGAGGTAAGTTGAACATTATTAATCCCATACACACACGCTTAGCATGCTCAATTTCACTGAGGGCAAAGAAATTGCATTTTAATAAAAAAAAGTGAATGCTGCATGTAATTTTAAATTCTATATATTTTTGACCGCAGACAATGCCACCGAGTCCCAAACTTGTTCTGCTTAATTAAACAGTATAATTAATACATTCTTTGGGGATGAGTAACAGATTATCCAAACTATACCTGAACTGCTTTCGTACAAATCAAATTTCAGTACTTGGGAAAGAGATTTGGGATGGTAGCAAGACTCGCTGGCTCCCTTACGCGTACCATTCTAATGACTATGCAGTCCGGATTGGCCTTGTATGCGCCGGCTCTTGCTTTAGATGCAGTTACTGGAATACCGAAAAGTGCTGCGATCTTAAGTCTAGGTCACCATTCAAATCAACCATAGGGTTCCACTTTTACCACTACCTTTTTAGGTTTAGTATGCACCTTTTATTCGACTATTGGTGGCATGAAGGCTGTAATTGTAACAGACGCATTTCAGTCGTTACTCATGTTTGCAGCAGTAACTTGCGTTCCAATACATGCAATATTGCAAACAGGAAGCTTTTCAGAAATTTGGAGAATAGCAAAGGAAGGAAACAGAACGAGCTTCTTAAAGTAAGTTCTGCCATTTTACTAGTTTCTTTAATTAGTGTAAACCACGAATAATGCAATTCTAGTTTTGACATCGATCCTACCGTTCGACATTCCTGGTTTTCGTTAATAATAGGTGGTGGAGTCATATATCTGTCAGTGAATGTTACCGATCAATCGCAGATACAGAGATACTTATGCGTTAAGGATTTAAAAAGTGCACGTCAGGCACTTTATTTAAAGATAATTATGTCAGGATGCCTTAATGTTAGCGCAATGTTCACTGGATTAGTAATTTATGCCAAGTACTATCAATGTGACCCTGTTGCTAATCGAAGTATTAGATTCTCGGATCAGGTGACGACAACACTGGAAATGTAACAACACTATTAATTCCTCTTCAGTTACTGCCCTACTATGTCGTTCAGATAATGGGCCACATTCCTGGATTGAGTGGTCTTTTTATCTCTGGCCTATTCAGCGCTGCACTTTCCACTTTGTCGTCTTCGTTGAATTGTTTAGCAGCGGTAACATTGGAAGATTACTTAAAGGTGAGCTATTGCAGTCACCTCCTAAAGTCTTACCCTTGCTTACACAGCCCATTTATTTCAAAGCCGCGGGCCGCAACCCTCCAAACGACAAGCTATTTCTATACAGTAAGATTATATCATTAGTTTTTGGATTTATTTGTATAGGATTGGCGTTCTTTGCACACTTATTAGGCGGCCTTCTTCAATCTAGCCTAACACTAACTGGCATTCTGGGGGGACCACTTCTTGCATTATTCAGTTTAGGTATGTTTACAAGAAGTGCCAATCAGAAAGTAAGTAAGCGTCTTATGTAATGAAGTAGTAGCTTCAAGTTTAAGGGCGCCATGACGGGATTTGTTGCCGGAATTGTACTTTGTTGTTGGGCGGCATTCGGCGGCCCGAGACCAGCCTTACCGAAACTGCCTGTACAAGTAAGTGGTTGCAACGGAACCATTTCCTTGCACCCCACATCGCCTGCAACTCTAGACGATCAGTGAGTATTTTTTAGCTGATACTCTGAAGTAGTAATGTTTTCACATCTAGAGAGTATTTTTGGCTATACCGTATGTCTTATCTGTATAATGGTGTTATTGGTTTTTTATGCGCGTTTGTGGTGGGAATTTCAGTAAGTACAATATGTAACAAAGTTTCCGGAAAGACACCAAAAGTGGATCCTAATTTACTTGCCACATTGACGTTTAACACGATGATAAAAGTGAAAAATGACGAAACTGAGGTAAATTACTAAGACTAGACAGGTACGTGCCCGATACTTTGATTTAAGGTGGGAGAAGCTCTTTTACACCAAGATATACGGAATGGGCATGAAGTGAAAGATTCGTTCTAAACAAGCCATTGAAGAGACCGAGAGCTTTGTCTCCAAAAACGAAAAAGTTCCGAGAATATGGTGCTCGATGTATTCAACTATTACATAGTGTAGATGTATCATTAGGACAATCAAGATTAAAACAATAGTAAATTAGTTTATGTGGAGGGGCAGTATTACTAAGTAACTTCTCCTCCAGATAAAATATGCTCATTTTTCTTCAAACTCCCGCAAAATTATGCAAAATATTTATTTAAGGTCCGATTCTACAATGCAGGTATATACCGAGAATAAGCTATACCTAGAATAGATGTCCAATAGGATACATGTTGCTATGGCAGCTATTCCAAGAATATCTTCTTTTAGAAATAGGTTTAATTGTAGAACGACGACGAAAAATAATGCTTCAAAGGGACAGTAGTTCGGTCTCGAACTTCAACGCGCCTCTCGTATTTAAACCAAAATTCCACTTAAATTTCTTTAAACTTTAACAAGTAATAAACACTGCATCGAAACGAAACTAACCAATACGAATACCATTAAAAACGTCACGTCTACACTAATTTTCCTTATCCTGTTCTATATAATTCAACATTTCAACCTCATAATACAATTTTTTAATGATTAAAAATTGTCACGTTATCTCACACAACTATATATTTCTCAAATAAAGGAAAACCTTAATAAATCGTATCGAAACTGACACATTCGCATTAATGAGCACCTTGATAACAAATAAAAGTGAGGTACAAACATTCCAAGAAATACTCTATGATTTATGAAGAAAATAAACAAATAAGACTACACGGTCGATTCGCAAAATGGTGTGTTAAAACGTAATTAGACCTACGACATTAATTAGAGAAAAATGGTTGTGTCATTAATAATATTAGGCACTCGAATTCATTCCAAATGTTTTAAAACCCAATACAACGTCCCATCTGACATTGTTTACACAGCAATTATAACTATACAGAACCATAGCCCATAGTCACCCATAAACACCTGTCCAGCTAGCTGAACTAAATAAAGTCACTCACCAAAACAATTAGCATGAATCCCTTAAAATCCTGGGTCGTAACTTGGCATCATTCTAATACGAAACTGTTCCTTTGCACCAAATACGAATTTAGGGGTTGATAAACAAATAATAACGATGTAATACAAAGCAGCAAAACCAATACACAAAAAGGACCAAGCACACGTTCGATTGAAACAATAACATAATAACTGTCAATAATCCACTCGTAAACCCCGATCGCCAATCCGAAAACGCACAAATCACAATCACAAGAACAAACTTCTCTTCTTTATTATGCACATACTACTATATTTACTCTCTACTAATAATCTCTCAATTCACTAAAGTTTCTTTTATAACATTTACTGCCTATAAACTGACTTTACTTTATTAACAGACAACAATTTAATTACTCCAAAAAACGTCTAAGTAACACTGACACTGATTCCAATATGCCGCGGACCAAAACCCGACTTCCTACAAACGGCTTAAAATAAAAAGCGAGAAATCCCCGTTGAAACACTTCTTCTATTCAAAAACTTCCCTTATTGTCATGTCCGTTTTTCACTTCCTTATTCTATTGTTCACGTACGCAGAAACCTTAGTTAAAACGCCCACCTGTGACATCTATTTACAAAGTTAACTAACTTTTAGCGATAAGCGCTACTCATATTCCTCTTGAAACTAAATAAACTTTTACAAAAACCTAATACAATTATAACAAATGTGCTTATCTTTCCTTAACTAACTGACCTAGGGAGTGCCACCCATACAGTACGATACTACGCTATAACAAAATAAAATGCGGATATTTAAACAAAAACTAACCATCGTCTAAACTACGTAAATTTGCACCACACTGTATATATTTTAATGATTTATAACCTTTACACGGCATAGTATTTTCCGTCACTTAGAGTTGACCTTGTATTACGCTGTAAATCGGCAAGAGCGGTGCGATCTCCGTACTCTATTTAAAAAACCGTCGAGTATATAAAAAAATGTTTGGGACAAAATTTGTAGAGAATTTTAATTTTTCTGTGGCCCGTATGAATAAAAATAAGCAAATGCTTAGACTTGCAAAATTCAAAGTAAATACTCGTAAGTGCTCCTTCGTACTGGGCGACTTAGCAGCGCTGCTAAGCAGAAGCAGAAGGACAGGACGCAGTGCAGCGCTGCTAAACAAACCAGTATAAAGGGGCACTTACGAGTATTTACTTTGAATTTTGCAAGTATTAGCATTTGCTTCCTTTTATTCATATGGGCGAATAAGATTACATAGCTTTTTGTCTCTCACTCTGTGGTGAAATATTTATTTATTTATTTATTTTATTTACTAACAAAACGGGACTTGCCCTTTTACATTGCCAGCAGTCAACGGTTTTGGCTTTAACAACTTAAACAAACAAAAGTAACAAAACAACAATACTAAAAAAAAAACAAATACCAAAATGCAATATCAAAGATGTAACAAGACATTACGGACACTCGTTCAAGTTTTCTGGCTCGTGACCTATTAGATTTTGTCATAATAATATGCAATAACTCCTTTTTTTAAATAATGTTAAGTTTACATTAAATATATTAGAATTGGTCTGGTGAATATATGCATTGGTGGTTATGGCTGCCCTTATCATTGGCGATTTTAATTTGTGACCGGTTCGACACTTAGGCACATAAAATATACTTTTTGGTCTGGTTTTATGAGCTGGAACATACAGATTCACAAGTGATAACAAATTAGGACAGTCAATTCTATTATTTATCAATTTGTGCATGAAACAAATATCAGCAACTTCTCTCCTATATTTTAACGGCATGATATGATTTTCCTCTCTAACTTCCCGATATTGATCATATTGGGGGTAATACCGTGCCTCTTAAAATGTAGATATTTTAAGAATTTATTTTGAACTGTCTCTATTTTTTTTTTATGGATTTGTAGACCGGAATTCCAAACTCTACTGCCGTACTCTAATTTAGATCGTACCAGGGAGTTGTAGATCATTTTTATGGAAACGATATTTTGAAATTCGGAGGTATTACGTATTAGAAACCCTAAATTTTTTAGTGCTGAATTAACAACGTTATTTATATGCTCGTCCCATTTTAAGGTAATTGTAAATTCTACTATGGCTGGTTTGAAAATTTTTTGTTTCCCAATGTGTGCCGAAGTCCAAGGGTTTAAGACGTTTTTGAGTAATCGGTAATCAGCAGCTGATGGAGTAACTGTGAAGCACAAACTCATTGGTTGAAAATAACAATTAAAAAAATTGACGGGATGTACCTACCTGTAGTTTTAGACAAGAAAAATTAGGGGTGTAAATAAAACTGCAGAACTTTATAGAGCGTTAGTAATTTCTGTGAATTCGTCTTGGAAGACTAGCCTCGGTTCATTCGGCCCAATTCAAGCCGTTTTTACTCATGGCACACCTTGACATGATAAGTGGTACATTTTAAAGGTTTGTATTTCATTCATAAATCGTTTGAGCTTTAAGAATCGAAAATTTTACAATAGGCCTAAAGATCAGGTGTAGTAATGTCGGACAGTTAGCGTTCTCACTCCATTAGTAGGTGGTAGTCTCCATTTTATTTTTTTGAAAACGCGCTTTCTTTATTAAACTCATAAATATGCAAAATAGCGGGATAGTGTATCAATCGACGAAAGGTAGGTAAAGTATTTGCTTGCAATAAGAGCAACGGCGTGTTTCCGTTAGCGGGACGTCGTCAGATTTACGGCTTTCCGACGGGAGAGACGCTACAATTAGCTCCGACTCCCGGCACATGTGGCGCTAGCAGCATTGCTGATAACAGCATGTTTGAAATGGCATTAAGCTTGCTTCTATAGTTCTATTATATGTATACAATACTGAATACAACACTATTGTATTGTATTCATTGTGTGTTGTATTGTAGAATCTTTGTCCCTTTATAATATTCATCTCTGCACAAAAGCGCCACATCGCGAGTTATCTGGCGCGCTATTGATATTTTTAACAGGCAGTGCGTCGGAACAAGTGAAATAGAATTATTTACGTCTTTTCTTCTGTCCCACGAATGGCACCACTTAACATTGTTGGTTTTCTAAGCCGAAGTAATTATTAAAACCAACTTGCGAATACCCTATAATACAATGCCTGATACTACAATAAATAAATTCGTATAGTGGAATACAATAAACAAAATGATGAATTGTTGGCAATTTTCCAATTGTTTGTTAATGGAAATACGCTTTTGTATTCGAAAACTGAATAAAGAGACTAACAGAAATTTATCGAATTGCTCCATTTTATTAAAATGCGTAAATAAATTCCAGTAGCGATTTTATACAAATGCACTTTATTTTTGGAAGAAATATTTTTAAATTTACACCTACGTGGTGGTTGAAAAACCGATGAACAACTTGCGAAGAAAGCGCGGTGAAAGCGCCATCAATTCATTACGTTTCCTTTCATATCGCGATGTCATTGTTTCAATCTGTCTGAGTGAAATCTCATCCCTAATACGTTTGTCCTTTTCGTTCGCTTTGTCTCAGAGGGAGGGTTACAAAGAGAAGGTGTATTAAATGTTTTGTGCGAAATTGATCGGAAATATACTCCATCATTTTTCACACTTTCTGGCTTGAACTAGCACACCGCGATTATTATATTAAATATAGGAATTTAGATTCCAAAAATTTCTCCAAATAATTGAGTGTTTTTTGCATGGAAATTCGTTATCAAGAAGACATGTGAAATGTAAGAAATGTACATTCATTATGCGAACTCGCACAGAGCTACCCTGTCTTTACCATAGCTCAGTAAATTGATCTCTCAATGTATGTTAAGCTCCCCTAAAAAAGATGTCTTTATTTACGAATTCATCTCAGTTCTCGATTATCGAAAACAGGACTAAAGATCTGTTTACCCCTCTCAAATTATCCTGTCAATAGTACTGGACTGACAGTCAAAAGGTATACACAGATATATTATACGAAGACACATTATGGTACAACCAAATAGCACATCTATTACAGAACTAAGGAAAAGTGAACAAAACTATTTTTTGTATAAAATAAAACATCCAGTATAAAAAACCAACAAGGTGCAGCAGAAGCAAATGAGCCGACC